CAGATTAGAGTCCATGCACTTAACCACTACGCCAAACTGGAGAGAGAGAAAGAGAGAAAGAAACAAAGAAAGCAAGTAGATGGGGGAGGGAGGGAGGGGGAAGGAAAGAAGAAAGGAAGGGTGAAATAAAGGAAGGGAGAAGGAGAGAGAGACAGAGCGAAAGAAAGAAAATAGATGGGGGGAAGGGAGAGGTGGAAAGAAAACAACCTTAACTTTAAATGCGTCCTCCAAGCTCCCCCCCCCCCCCGGCTGGCTTGGCTTGGCAAAGGGAAGACTGACCAGGGAGGCATGCCTCCGATTCGCTTCCCAGGTGCCCTGCCGGGAGCCACACAATATGTGTGAAAGAGCTGCATGTGGCTCCTGAGCTGCAGCTTGGCCACCCCTGCTTTATCCTAAGACTTTAGGATGACGATAAAGCCTGAGGAAATGAAGGCAAAGGCAGCCATCTCAATTTTTGCCATCTGTTGCTTAAACTAGGGCCCCCACGGGAGCACACAAGTGTGGGGCAGCCAAAATACTGATGGGATTACATCCATTTACTCAGTCTCTTATGGGAATCGATGTGGTGGCAACTATGTATCTGTATTTCCACTTCAAGGAGCTGGTTTGACCTAAGGCTTTAGGATGATGATAAAGCCTGAGGAAATGAAGGCAAAGGCAGCCATCTCCATTTTTGCCACCTGTTGCTTAAACTAGGGCCCCCACAGGAGCACACAAGTGTGGGCCAGCCAAAATACTGATGGGATTTCATCCATTTACTCAGTCTCTTATGGGAATTGATGTGGTGGCAACTATGTACCTGTATTTCCACTTCAAGGAGCTGGTTTGAGCCTTTAGAGCCCACAATGCTTTGAGCCCTGCTTCCCTGAGAGATAGTCCATCTCCTCTCATTTCTTCTTTCTCATGCCCTTTGGTTACTGAATGATTCCCTGCTGGGGTTCTGCCCTTCAGCCAGCTGAGATCGCAGAGGGCACAAGGCAAGGCCTTCTCAACTGTGGTGCCCGCTCTCTGAAATGCTCTGCCAAGGGACCTCAAGATGGCTGCCTTCTTGGATACATGGTCATGCGGGTTCAGTTCTATTTTGTGACTTGGTGTTTTATGCTGCTGGATCCACTCTTTCGTGTATTTTTTTAAATTTTAATTATTTTTATGAGGCCACCCCGAAGTACTCCTGAGTTCAAAAGCAATTCCTACAAAATGAACTATACTGCAGCCCCCGGGTTCCTCATTAGCTGAATGCTAACAGCGAGGGTGCACATTTCTTAATCCAGAGCACTAACAGGCAAACGGATGGCAGAGATCCCAGCACAGTGTTCCCTGAACTGCAAATCAGATAACAGTGCTCCTGGAGGCATGAAGCTGCCCTATACTAAATCAGACCCGTGGTTCATCAAGGTTAATACTGTCTACTCAGACTGGCAGCAGCTCTCCAGAGTCTCAGAGGTCTTTCACATCATCTGCAACTTGATACTTTACCTGGAGATGCTGAGGATTGAACCTGGGACCTTCTGCATGCAAAGCAGATGCTCTCCCACTGAACAAACCCTCTCTTTTGGTTGGGCAAGAATTCCTTGCATGTGCAAAGAAACTTTCAGAGGCATTGTGTGACGTGGGAGAATCTGTGTCCTAAAATTTTAGAAACCCTCTTTTAAGCATATATTCTGGACAAACAATCTAACAGAGGTAAACATCATAGCTGGGAAAGACTACACTCCATTGTAGCAGTCTGCACTATCAACAAGAAATTCCAAAGCAATTAGAAAAAGACCCCCAAAATCTCACTGAAGAAAAACCTTAGACAATGCTAACATACGGTAATTTCTATCCTTTGAAGGACTTCCAGGAAGTCTACTTTTAAGACATGCACACTAGGACACAGAAAACCTCTCAAATCGTAGGATGAAGAATAGGTTGAATGTATATTGTACTGAATATGCTACCTAATGTGTATTCAGCAATCTCACTGCTCAATTTAGGCAAGACTGAGACATGTACGAATAATAGTAATAATAATTCTCGTACGGCATTGTCTATAGAATAGCCAGGAGATCCTAAGATTGTCTGGCAGCCGCCAGTTTTAGCTCTTAGTGTTGTGCACCACTAGGTGGTGAGCTAACTACTGACCATTAAAGCTCAAACTCCAGTATGCTACTCAAGCAAATCTCGATTCATACTTACAATCCCTTTCAGATACAAAAATTTAAGGATGTGTGAATGCTTTGTAAACAGATTATTTCATTCTTGTCAGTAACATTTACTTGAAATTTGAACTCCACTGGAGTGAAACATTCATTGTTCATTAGAAACAGGACTGTGCAGTAAATAATTTCTGTAGCATCTTTTAGTGTATGAAGTGCTTATTTTGAATAAACAGATAGATCAACCATTGAACTAGATAATGATCCAGCTTTTGACTTACATCATCTGCAAAGAGATGCAGTCTTTGCATCATTGTTCTTCTGAGAAGGTTTTTGGGCAGCATTCCATAGATAGCCAGTTTTACAATCTGCAAAAGAAAGATTTATGTTACATACATGATACCGCCTTTCCTAACATTTCAGAAATGTAGAGCCAACTCACACAGAACTAAATATGAGAATTAACAATGAAATAAATGGGGGGGGGGGGATTGTTAAAGCCACAGTGACTGAAGGGAGCCTCCATCTACAGAGGCAGCAGACCTTTGAACAAGAACAGCTAGGAGGCGGCAGCAGCGGAGGGGCTTGGCCTTTATGCCCTGCTTGTTTCAAATGTAAAAGCAAACTGTGGTTTGTGCTAAAGCAGAAGTCACTAATCAAGGCCTGATTTAAATGAAGCTGGGTGGAGAGAAGAACTTATCTATGCAATAGTTCCGTGTGCCCAGTGTCTCATTTAAACAGAGATTAGCATGCCAAATATAGGAAGCCTGGGTGTGCTAGCGTGGCACATGTAGTGAGACTGCACAGCTGAACTCTGGATGCATGCCAAGGTTTCATGGGTATGTTCTTCTTGCCCAACAGTGTCACATTTATATCAAGCCACACTTAGAACACATTAGGAGAGGACAGACAGGATAGTGCACAAACACAGCACCAAAACATGGTTAAGCATTATTTTATTTATTTGGAAAATTTAAATGCTGTATCTCCAAAGACACGCTGGAAGTGAACAGCAAGATAAGAAATACAATAAAGCAGAACCATAACATACTGTTCCTAAAAGATTCTTCAGGCTAGCAGCATGTCACATTTCTCTCATTCTGCAGGAGGGCATTTTTATACAAGTAATAGGGCTACAGTATAATGGAACGGTTCAGGGAAGCGGTTTTAATAAAGGCAACCAAGGGTGCAGATCATACCACTGTGTGTAGTATGCAATATCTGCTTGCTATACGCATTGCCTTATCTCACTGCATTGTTTTCTACTTATTCAATACGGTTTTCTGCATTAACATATCATGTCTAATATTATTTATTATTAGATTTATTAGATTAGATTTATTTAATTATTAGATTCATTAGATGATGAATGATGATAATAATAATATCTGAAACAAAGTATAAAGTTTCTGCAATTCTAATGCCTCCTCCTGCTGATACGCTGACTTACACTGTGCAATCTGCCTTGAGTCTCAGTGAGAAAATGTAAATTTAAAAAAATCAAATTACACTAACAAGATTTAACTCTTTGACTAAAAGCCTGGGTAAAAAGGAATGTTTCAGCCAAGCCTCAAAGGGGAGGATGTTCCAAAGGCAAGGGATATCTAATGGAGATCCCTGCCTTACCTCTGAAGACAGGAGCACAGGAAGGCTCGGGAGGAGGCTCTTAACTTAACCTGAACTGACCTACAGAACTCAGCATACTGTTGTGTGTCCCCCCCTCTACCCCCTCCCCCCGTGCACAACCAATTCCACATCACTGGAGAGGCAGGAAACACTCAGTGTACCAACATCAGGATGCAGCATTTTCCAATTAGGTGTCATACAGAAGGAGGGAACCGGACACGGGGCTGCCAGTTCTAGAGGCAAGCCTGCATATTTTTTTGTAATGTGCAGTTCCGCCTTCACTGTAGGCATTTGCTTTGTGAAAATGACCTGACAGCTATTTGTTCCGGATGAACAGCCTCATTCATAAGGCTACTAGGAATGAATAAGACCTACGGACCCACATTAACTTATGCATAAGAGCTACAGTTCAGGGCGGTTTTTCTTGGGCTGAAGATCTGAGTGTGCCAATATATTCCTTTATGTAAGAACTAAATAGCCATATGGACTTTACCGAAAGGGAAAAGTATTACATAAAATAAACAGCAGAAGCCAATGTCCTCCATTCTTTAAAGCACCAACAAAAGCAGTGAGCTCCATACAGAGCAGTCCTTTCTGAGGATGTAATAGAATCACAGACTCACAGAGCTGGAAGGGGCCAAACAGGCCATCTGGTCCAAACCCCTGCTCAATGCAGGATCAGCCTAGAGCAGTGATGGTGAACCTTTTAGAGACCGAGTGCCCAAACTGTGACCCAAAACCCACTTATTTATCGCAAAGTGCCAACACGGCAATTTAACCTGAATACTGAGGTTTTTACTTTAGAAAAAACAATCCATACATTAACTTAAGATGATCCAAACATAGTGAGGAAAGCAATCCCAAATGCTTTAATTTACTTAACATTATTTGGCAGAGAATTCAACACTTTAATAATGGTCTGGGCCTGGTTGGGGCGATGGCACGCTTGCCCACAGAGAGGGCTCTGAGTGCCACCTCTGGCACCCATGCCATAGGTTCGCCACCACTGGCCTAAAGCATCCCTGACAAGTGTTTCTCCAGCTGCTGCTTAAAAGACTGCCAGTAAGGGGGAGCTCACAACCTCCCTAGGCAGCTGATTCCACTGCTGCACAACTCTTACTGTAAAAAAGGTTTTCCTAATATCCAGCCAGTACTTTCCCACCCTTAACTGAAACCCATTATTGCGAGTCCTATCCCCTGCTGCCAACAGGAACAGCTCCCTTCCATTCTCTGAAAGCCCTTCAAATACATAAAGAGAGCAATCATGTCCCCCCTCAACCTCCTCACGGGGCTTGGTCTTTCCCCCCCACAATTGGCAAGATCAGATAATTTTACACAATCAATATATGAGGCTGGTCACTGGCTCCATAGTTTAGGTTGCAACAGTGAAGAGTAGCAAAGGAAGAAAACTTTACAAGACTCAAATATCTGATACTTTTAAAAAGTGTCACAAATTTTAGATGGCTCTTCTTTTGCAGACCTCATTGAGCATCCATTTTGGCTATTCTGTTTTGATTTTTCTCCTTTGCACAGATCTACCTCAGAGTAAGAATTATTGGAGTCCATTACAAGAACTGCTGTTACCTCACATCTGGAATTTCCCTTTTGCCAATACAGTTTCAATGGCTTTTAGTCTGAGAGATGTTGGCCCCGTTCACACGGAGCAGAAGCCACGCTAAATAGACGGAAGAGAGGCGGAGTTACCTGGCACGATCACACGGCAACATCTGGGGAGCGTAGAGCTCCCGTGGTTGAACTGTGGCGAACCGCCGATAAAACGGAGCAAAAAACTAGTACCTCGGAGGTACTAGTTTCCGGAAACTGCGGGGCAAGGGCGGGCGTCTGATCACATTTCCGGTGGCATCCGGCGTTCGCCCATGTCCCCTTGCGAAGAAGGTTTTTTTCCCCCCCAAGTCTTCGTGGTTGCGCACACGCACCCAACGGAGCATGCTCATTCGTAGTGTACACAAAAAAGAAACCCAGTTCGCCGCGCCGCGCGCTTCTTCGTTGCGCGCAGGCATGTGTTGTGATCGACGCCTCTCCGTAACCACGGAAGCTCCACGGTACCTCCACAGAACCTCCACAGGAGGTATGATCACTTTACTGCGTGTTAGTTTGCCCCGGGGCAAACAGCCACACTTCTCCCCCGCAGTTTCCTGCGCGTGTGACCGGGGCCGTTTTAAAGCAGAAAACTTTACATTTTTCAGGTGCTTCTTTTCAGTGTGTGAAATCCTGGATGTAAGCCAAAAAAGATACCATCAATGTTCTTTTTTTCATCAGACAGCTTATGATACAGTAATAAAATGTGGGGAAGACAAAAACCAGAAGCCTAAAACCAAAGCTTGTTCACTTACAAGTCTAAAACAGTCATTTACTCATCTTCAAATATATGTGATTATATAGAGGTATAACCTTTCTGTTTCCATATATATGGGCACTTGTTTTATACGATCACAGACACACTTTTGCTAACTGTAAACCAATCTCTCTTTCACCTGTCTACCACCTAACAAAGAGAATGACAATAATGCTCCTTTGGAAAAAGGGGAGAGATAAAAGTAAGAACTCTTTTACAAATGCCAAATGCCTCACGTTAGTGGAAGGGTCTTATGCTAGGAATGTGAAAGCACCAATAGAGTGAAATGGCTGGCTCAAATGTAAATAAATCTACACCATATTGCCGCAAGCAATTACATAAAATATTTCAGATGTACTGATACAATGATGCCTTTCATCTTTCTTAGATACAATTCTGACTGGCATCCTAAACGAAACTGAGACAGACTCAGCTGCCCCTAAGTGCGGGTTCAACAGGCTTGCTAGCAACAAAGAGCCTGGCCATGGGAGAAACTGTGACCTGCTGAGGCACCAATTCTGAGCCCAATTTGCAACACATTCCCGTAGCCCACCAACTCAGCAATGACCGAACTCTAAATAAGTGGGTTCTAGATCAAATCAAGTGAACTCTAAATTAGTGGGTTCTAGATCATATCAAGCCTGAACTCTCCCAAGAAGCTCAAATGACCAGACTGAGACTACTGCACTTTGGTCAAACGATGAGAAGACAAAAGTCATGGGAAAAGACTATCATGCTAGGAAAAGTTGAAAGCAGTGGGAAAAGAAGAAGACCCAACACGAGATGGATTGTCTCAATCAACGAAGCCGTGGCCCTCAGTTTGCAAGACCTGAGCAAAGCTGTTAACGATAGGATGTTTCGGAGGTCTTTAACTCATAGGGTCGCCATAGGTTGGAAATGACTTGATGGCCCTTAACACACACAAAGCTACCCTCTAATCAATGCCCAGTCACCCAAATCTGCGCAAGCTTTTGAGTTTCCCAGAACTCTTCATCAGCCTGTACGGTCAATATAATGAAGGAGGAGGGAGAGAACCTATAGTTTCAGGGCATGGTGGAATTATTACCATGCCTGCAGTTTCTAGAGCAGGGGTGTCAAACTCATTTGTTATGAGGGCCAGATCTGACAGAAATGCTACTTTGTTGGGACAGGCCATTTATGCCATAATATACTAGGTACCAGAGATATAAACTTTGTAAGTGACACAGGCAAACCCTGAGAGGTGGCCAGACTGGTCAACTGGCCCCGGATGACAGGGTCCTGTCTTAGGAGGAGGGGGATCTGAATCAAGCTCTTCCGGATCCCCCCCACCCCAGTTCTCATCTCTCTTGCGTCTCCCAGAGAAACGGTGGAGTTGAGGGAAGAGGAAGACCTGACAGAGAGGCC